ACTTTTCTTCTTTTTCCTTTCCCTTAAAAAACTGCCTACTCAAATTCAAAATCCAAACACAGCCTTAAAGCACTTACGCTGTGTTTGGTTAGGGGATTTGGTAAGGGATTTAGAAAGTGAAAGAGAAAAAGTGTGAAAGTAAGTGAAATGTAGGTATATTTTATTCACATTCCACCTACATTTTTCCTTTGTCTTTCCAAATCTTTTTCCAAATCTCTCAACCAAACACAGCGTTAACATAAGCCGACTTAAATGCTTCCCTATTCCTATATTCTGCTCTAAAGCTGCATTATATAGAAACCGCTTCTGCAATTTGAGGTGCAATTTGAGGTACAAAAATTGTATAAAATAAGGAGAACAGGTGAAACAAAAAAATGTTTTTAACTTAAAATTTATTCAAAGGTTTGGGATATTGTGCTGTTCAAAATACATCTAAAAGGTTACCGGCATATAAGTAATCACTTAAAAGCAGACTAACCAAACCAAAAATTCTAGTCTTTATGTGCACTGCATTCGACAAGCATGGCATATAGTTTAAGATTGGTTGTGCTCAAATTTTTTTATTGTGTTATTTTCATAACTGGTTCCAATTACTCAAGTCGGTTTCTGTTGCTTGTTCAGGTATGCGGCCCCCCTGGAATGATGAACCATATATCTGGTGACAAGGCGAAAGACTATTCACAAGGCGAGGTATGAAAAAGCGTTTTGCGTTTCATGTGTTGATATTGATCGAAACCCATATGTTAGTTTCCTCTTAAGGCATTTCCTTTCGATTTTGCTTTGTTGCAGGTCTCTGGCTTACTCAAGGAACTTGGATATACAGAACAAATGGTTTACAAATTTTGATGGACTTGGAGAAAATCAGTATTGGTTTACTACGTTTTAACCCAAATTTGTTAGAAAAAGTGAATTTTGAAGCAATACATACATACAGCTTCATTGAGGACACGTGTCATCCCGATGTGCCCCGAGTGTTCTCATTTTCTAGGGTTTTTATGAACTGTCTTCTGTTAAAATAGCATCTTCATGAGCCAGCATTGCTGATGAAACCGCAGTTAAGTTTAAGTAAAAGTTTTTTTGGTACTTACCCAAAAAAAAGTTTTTTTGGAATATTTTTGGAGTTATCAGCCAAAAAAATATTATCTATTTATTTAGATTTGGAAAATGGGTTTTTGAGGTTTTTTCTTCTGTATTTTTTTTTTGATTAATTTATTTTTATATTTTTTAATGTACTTAATCTAAATATACTCAAAAAGTAAAATATTTGTAACAAAATTACAAAATACGAAATGTATATATATATATATTTTTTTTTGTATTTTGGAAATTTTTTTAAAATTACTTTAAAAGTTTTTAATTTTTTTTTAATGTACATCAAGATTAAATAAATTTAAAAAGTATAAAAATTTGATTGAAACATGAAAAAAAAATTATTAAAAAAAAGAGTAAGGATAGAGACTCTTTTTTTGAAAGATTCTCACAACTCTCGTAGTGATCCACACCATTTATGATGTGGACTTCACATGTACATAAGTGGGTTTCACATATCATGAATTGTGTATGGATATCATGAATTGTGTGGATCACTATGGGAGTTGTGGGTCCTCCAAAAAGGGGTCACTCATTTTCCTAAAAAAAAACTTTAAGCTTTAAAACCAAACAGTTCCATTTCTTACATTTAAAGCCTACTAGCATTATGTTTTCTATTCTTCTCGAAGCCACTTTTCTACATAACATTTCCAACAACCAAACAGGACCATGAAAAGGAGATAAAAAAAAAAAAAAAAAAAAAAGAAGAAGAAGAAGAAGAAGAAGAAGAAGGGAGAAAATGTGCCATCTTGAGTCAAGGTAAGAACACACCCCTCCCATGTCTTCTCCAATTCTTTCACCCATCTCATCCTATTGTTTAGATGCCCTCTTGCGTTGCATATTAATGGTAAATAGGGTTTTTGGTGTGTATGAAAGTGTGGGTATGACCTAATGACTTTGTCTTGCAAATTTGTCAAATTATGCACTGCTGCAACTTCTCTAATTTAAAAGAAATATCAAATTTATTTATTTCTCAAATCTGAATTTAGTGTAGGATATTTGTGTGTTTAGAGCTTGTGATAATTTTATTAGCCCCTCATTGTGTGTTTTTAGGGCTTGAATATTTTGTTTAAAAATCTGGTCCTAAGACTTTGAAAAATTGTCTACTTCTTGCAATTTAATAAAATTCCAAAAAAATTATCTCATGTTGGTTCTTCTGTCAAAATTTAGAATTCCGAGTCCTCTTTCCAACAGAATTTATTTGGGTGAAATTCATCGGGTAGATTGAGAGGAAAGCCAGTTTTCCCAATGGGTGACAAATCTGGACAGGTTTTCGAACAGAGCTTATAGATGACTTTCTGGAGGTTCTGTGCAAATTCTAAGAATTGGAACTAAAACTAGACAGGTTGATTATTGTTTCTGTGCAATTTCAGCCCCTAATTTGACCTAGAAGTATTTTTACCAAAGCATTATTGTTAGCCCTGCAGAACTGAATAGTGCTGGAAATTGTATTTTATTGTGTTATTTGTCTCTAAGTGTTTTAAAGCATTCCTAATGTTGTTTGCTTGCTTTACCATACTTATGTATGCTTATCATGGGTTATATTTCCTCCCTTATGTTTGTCTCATGCTCTTTTATATTACCGATTTACCGAATGTGACTAACTTGCTTGGCAAAAGATTTAACAGGGGTTGGCAACGGGTTGACGTTCACATTAGTGTTTCGGAATAATTTATACATATGAATAACATGAATTATGATGGGATTAAAACCAAATGAGTTAAGTCTTGCGCAAGCGGTCTAAGTGAGCCCCTAGGTTGACACGGACGTATTCAGACTCTATGCGGTGGTTTCAGGGTGTGAGCAAACCCTTTGGTATGGTATGTGCATGGTGTAAGTGAGCCCTAGGCACAATTTGGTATGGTATGTACAGGGTGTAAGTGAGCCCTAGGCATGATTTGGGTGTAAGCAAGCCCACTTGTTTGGCCGTCCCTTTTGAGGTCCATCAATGTCACTGACCGGTAAATAACCGGAAGGTGGGTATAGGTGGTAAGGTCTACAAAGCAACAAAAGGGGGAGTTCTGAATAGTCTAATGTTCAATCCTTGTGGTTTGGTAGAAGGCTCGATTTGGGGGATTCTCGATGTCTAGTCTAACTACAAATTCATAGAACCTTATTGTAATGTTGTACGATTTGTTCTGTGTATGGTTGATTGGTTGATAAAAGATATGGGGGTGTGTGCTTTTTTATTGGGCATTCCAAGCTCATGGCATGTCATGCCAGGTGATGAAGCAGTTTACAATGGTGAAGGTTAATTCGAAGGCAAAAAAGATGAAGTGTTGGAGCTGTGGTTCATTTGAAGTCTCAGACTAGTTTTTTTTCCTTTTAACTTTTGGTTTGGCAATATTTTGGTAATCCTGTAATGGAACATAAACGAATTATCTGTGATATTAACTCTGGTTATATATATGTATATTAAGAAGTTGGGGCGTTACACGACAAGTTCTAATATTTCTTACCCATCAACAAATAACTAAGTTAAAACCCATAGAAAAGTGTAGAAAGTCCCCACCTCAAAGTTAGGAGACGAGAAAATCAAGACGGAAACTCCAAAGACGCCGAAACCAAAGTTTATTCAGATCAAAACGTAGCCCTTGAGATGCTCTGCCCTTTTCCCGAAGACACTAGGGTGGAGAAATCAATGGATCTAGGAGAAAAAGTAAAAAGAAGGTGAATTTTGGATAGAGAAACTCAAGATCTAGGTTTTGGAGAGTTTTAGAGAGAGGGATGAAAAAGTAATGAAAAGGTAGGTTGCTGCGAACTGATACACGCATAGTCCACTTAAGCGTAAAAGTTGATGCTCGAGCGCAAGAAGTGATGCTCAAGTAGAGAATACACACATCCAGTAATTTTGCAGACAACAAGCCAACGCTCGAGCGCAAGAATGGCCACTCGAGCGTAGAAAATACTCTCCCAGTAGTTTTGTAGACCTGCAAAAGTATTGAGAGTTCGCAAAGCCCGCTCAAGCACAGGAAGTGTCGCTTGAGCAGAGGACCAAAAATTTGGGCAACATAAAGTTTGAAAAACAAGTGACCAACTTGTCTAAACATAACCACAACAACCTTAAAGCCAAATTCAAGAAGATACAATGCCAAAAGCTGTAAACAACAATTTGAAACCATTAAACTCGAGACTGGGATACAACAAGAGTCGGGTCAAAAACCGGGATCGCTATATCCCGGATGTTCAAACTGCAAACACAGATACTATGATGAACCAAAGATCACTCCAGTGAACTTGGAGAGTGAAAATCCTAAGTGATTCGTGATTAGATCAAGATTTAAATATTTCAATTCCCAATCATTCAAAACACACAATCTAAATCATCAAGCACTTACGAAAGTGATTTAGATTGTTGTTCTCGAAAAACAATAAATCGACACAAACGATTTTTACGTAGAAAAAACCACAATTGAAGCACCTTCAATTGTGATAAAAAAACCACAGGCGAAACGCCACTAATCAATCCGCTACTGAAGAAAGAAAGATTACAAAGATAACAAAAAAACTACCCAAACGTTTCAAATTTGTCTTCAAATCTTCTGTATATCTTTCACTGCAACCTTCGTCTTGGAATTGATTAACCTAAAGTTGAATCCACAACTTCACTTGTCAAATCAACAACTACGTACAGAATCAAACTCCTTTGAAACTCCAGGCTTGAATCTCCGGATTCCACCGAAGACGAACACTCTTCAATATAACCAATCAACCTCCTTGATATGTGCTTATCAATACATGAGTTTAATACTCACTCAAATCATCAAGAAAAACTCACAAAAACCTTCAGAAGAAAACCTCAAATGAAACCCTAAGACTCTTAAAGAAGATCTAGGAAAAGTAGCCCTAGAGTTGGACAAACAAGCGAATTTATAGAAGCAGAGATCGCGCAGTCCGCTCGAGCATGGAAATGGACGCTCGAGCTGGGACTCTATATCGCGTGTTCCAACCCAGGGTCCACGCTCGAGCGGAAGATCCCATGCTCGAGCGTAGAAACACATCACTCAGTATTTTTGCAGACACGCGAAATACTGTAAGAGTGTAAACTCCGCTCGAGCGGCCATTTCCCCACTCGAGCGGGAAGAACAAAACTAGAAAATTACAATCTGATTACAAACTTTTTTTCCAAAGATTTTGACAACAAGGGTCCTAAAAAGAGAAACAAGCAGAAACTCTTTTGAAAAACAGTAACTCCCAACCTGTTTAAAACACAACCAATAACTAATCCCAATTAACAACAAGACATCAAGAAGTCTAAACAATAATAATGAGTACCATATTTCAAATCAAAGAATATAAAAGGGTCGGGCCTTAACTCGAGTCGTTATAGTATGGAAATTCACATATATAATTTTCTATATATTTCATATTATACATTTTTATATTATTTAATTTTCTAATCCATTCTCTTACTCATTTTTCGTCATTCTAATTTCTTTCTACAAACTCTTGCTTGATATATTTTACAAATGTATGTAACATACCCTCATGAGTTAGTTTAACTGCTGATGCCTCTTTATCACTTGCTTTCAGGTTGTCGTATCAACTTGCTACTATTCCTGTGAAGCTGTGTTCAATTTAATTTAAAAAGCTTTGTAAGCTTCAACTACTACTATGAATATTTAGAACATGGTGCATGTCTCTTTTCCATTATTTTAATACTTCATTACATTTGTCCACAATCAATATCTAATAAGTAATCAGTGATACTAATTGGTTTTAATGGTACTTCTCTTAAGAATATTTTTTGTCTGGGCATAAATTTTGCATAACTAGGTGTTCCTCCCCTAGCATATGATCCCATATTTAAATAACTATAGTGTCCAGTTCTTCTCCTATAATCATAATTTATAATATCATCCTCTATTTGTTGTCTAGTAAAATTTCTAAAGTCTGGGTGGTTCAGATTTGTTTTGTAGATAAATTGACTTCTTCTGGTTTGACGACGACCATTTCTGTGTCATCAAAAAAAATTTGTCACAAATTTATCATTTTTAATGATGAATTTGTTTTTGTCTCTATT